TAAAATCCTAAACAAGATAAAAGAGAGGGCAGAATGGGAAGGAACAGAGAATATAATCTCACAGAATGAAACACCAGAGTGTCCCACTTGGTTCTGGGTGTATTTTTGTTGTGTGTTGGAAGGTACTAACTTCCACCATTGTAAAACAAAATGGGGCAGAAAAACAAAAATAAATACCCATATCTTGTATATCTTCCAAAATCAAATTGAATAGATTGAAGGGAATCCAGAAGTGAAAAAGATACCTAAGACATGCAATTGTAGTAATATGAACGTCGAAAGGGAAAAAAAAACTTAAAAATGTAGAGTTGGTAAAATATTGTAGTTAAGTTGGGAAAAGAGAAAAATACTGGAAATTTTTAGTGTGATATGAAAACAAGTTGTAATGAAAAAAAAATCCTCTAGTTCTTTATGCTATTGTCCCTCAGTCCTGGAGCTTTCCAGTGCTGCTTGGTCAGTAAATTTGCTTTTCTCTTACTCCTCCTTTGTTCTTCTGGGGGAGGGTCTGCTGCACTGATTCTTAGATGTCTGTGCCTGGGTGGAGATATCCCACCCCTCAGTGTGAGGACTCACACTTGCCCTCAGTGTGAGCTGTGTATCCTCTGAGACCTTTGTTCCCTAGACACCCTGCCTCTCCCAGGCACAAGGTAAAACAAAGAGGGGGGAAAATGGCAGCCAGCAGACTTCCATCTCTGGAGTCAAGCTCCCTGCAAGTGCCAAACCAGAGTCTCCCAGTCCACACTGGCCTAGTTGCTCCTGGTGGCAGGTGTGGGTGCACTGATCCGCACATTTGCCAAGCACCCAGTGGCAGGAGAGTTCTTGCTTTCCTGTGCCCTCCTGGCTTTCCCCTGTCCCAAGACAGCTGGCTTTGTCTGCTTTGGTGACCTTGGATGGAGGGCCCTGCACCACTGGATCCATGATCTTGGGGATTGCCTCTCCCAAAGGGAACAGAAGACAGCCACCTCTGTCTGTTGCCCAGCTCTAGTGTAAAGGTAGCTCCAGAGCTGGCCTGCATAACTAGTGGGTTTCTCCCAAATGCCCCAGAAGACTGCGGTGCTCCTTTACTGATATCAGACCTTGATTTTTGGTGAGCTTTCCTCTGGATACTCCTCCTCTTACAGTGACTCCAGGAATCTTGAGGCTTCACTGCCCCTCCTGTGATTCTGCCCAACTGCCCTGCTAAGCACTTTTCCATCAGGGAAAACTCAGGCACAGATTTTTAAAGTTCCTGCTTCTCCAGGGCTGGGCTTTCATGTCCCGGAGGCTTTCACCACTCAGCTTTAACCCTGCTAGTCACAGTTTCCCTCCCCCACTTTATTTCTTTTTAATATTTTCACCTTCCTACCTTGTTTGAAGTGAAAGCTTTTCTCTCTGTAGCATTCCAGATGTTTTCTCCTTACATCTCAGGTCGAATTTTTAGGTGTTCAGCATGTTTTGAAAGTTATCTAGGTAGGTTTGTGGGACTAACTTAGATGAGGAACCCCACTCTTCAGCCATCTTGCCCAATCCCAGAAATAGGTTTATTTGCATTTTATAGATAGGGAAATGAGGCATAGAAAGGTTTCATAAATTTCTAAGGTAATGGAACTAGTGCCTGGGACTAGAGTTTGAACCCTGGCAGCTCAGCTCCAGAGCTGGACTCCTAGCTACCGAAATAAACTTCCACCCCCAACAGAAGTAGCAACCATTTTGTTGTTTTCCATTTTCTGTAAGAGCTTTTCCAAATCCAATAGCACAACAATTGTTCATTTAAGCAGAAGGAATCTGGTTACCTAAAATACACCTATTTATGTTGGGCATTAGGATGCTTTTAATGATTCCATTTAGCTTTAACATGGAAAACACCACTAAATTGCAGATTGGCCTTGAAGAGTATCAGGAAGGCCACTAGTCATGGTACAACACAGTGTTGCACAACAGACAAATCCATGTGCCCTATGTTACCAAGAAAGGGGATGTGAAGGTGATTTAGACATCGGGCTTGAAAGAAGACCCACTTCAGTTTGTTATAACTTACTATAGTTTATCATGTAAAGGGAAAAATTAGCAGCAACACCAATGTGTTACCTTTTGCCGACTATGGGGAACAGATAGAGGTGTGAGGAAGAGTTCCAATTTCTCAGTTACATACTTGTCTATCACTTGCAATTTTTGTTAGGAGTATGCATTTTTGATGGGATTTTAAAAAGTTTTTAACAGTGATCTAATTAACAATTCCTACCTATGTGAAGATGAGCCATTTTGTAATTCATTTATTCATTGAATGAGCAAATATTTACTGAATGTCAATGAGATGCCAGGTGCGAGGTACTGGAGATACATAGGAATTAGTAGTCTAGTGGTCAGACAGACATAAGGGCCAACAATTATGGAATGAGGTAGATACTCTTCAGTTGAAGGGATTTAGATTAGACCAGGGAATACTATCCCCAAATCTGCTTTTAGCCATAGTAATCTATGGGTTTGGTGGCTCTATGTGACTGGGATAGGGTGGCTAGAGGAGATGGAAGCATTTATGAATGACCTAGGGTTCTACAATTCTCTTATCTTATGGAAATTACTGGAAGCATGCCCAGCACATGGAAGATGTAGGCCTGGTTCTGCATATTAATATAGCTCACAAGATATCAGTTTTTCTCTGATCCTGGTTTCTCATGGCAAACTGGTTGCTTCTCAGTTGCCAGAGGACTACATTTCAAGGTTGTCATTTAAATACTTTTCTCAGTTCCATGATTATAGGCTGCATCCCTACTATCAGAAACTTGTCCTCCCATTTTGCAAAAGGCATAACAGGTGAGAGGGGCTGGCTTGATGCAGATTCATTGTTTACTTTCTAGAGTCCCCTGAAATGAAAATGCCAAGTAGTCCACTAAGGACTGGGGTTGAAATTACTCACTCTGCCTCCAGAGGTCAATCACATCGCCTTTGTAATATAAAAGAAAACATAATGATCCTAGGTTTATGCTGTCTTTAGATCCTGAAAGAGAATACCTAAGTGTATGCTTTCCTTCAGCTTAAAACAATTTTTAAAATTAAGCAACAGGTTGTAAAAAGTTGCTTTTCTCAGGACCATATGGTTCATTAGTACCATACAGTGCACATGTACCAGACGTTTCTTTCTTAAGTCCTGTACTCCTGCCTGTTTAACATGTGAATGATTGCCTCCCATCCCTGCCTCCAGTACATCTAGGGTAGTTTAATGCTTCCTGGCACGCTGTGTCCTTCAATACCTTCTTTACAAGCATGCCTGATTTGGGAATTGTTCTGTAATTGGAAGTCAGCCTCATGGGCAAGAGCACACCTTAAGCTCTTCACATGGCCTTCCAGCCTAATTAAGCCTCAGAAATATTAAAGCAATTATTTGGGAACACTTGCAAAATGAATGCATGTTGGTAATCTATATAGTTACAGAGACCTTCTTACTCAGATCTAACTGCTTGGGGGTGCTGATTTTATTAACGAAATGAAGAAAAATCAGAGAACATTCTCCACATCCCATGACTACAGTATGCTCTTTGCTGAGACAATAAGGCCTCTCAGGGCCAGAGAACTTGTGTATAGCCATGGCTTCTGGTTTGGTGACAGAAATGCCATTTCTGCCCCCTCTCCTTTTCAAGCCCATAGAAAACAATGAACAGAATAATAAGCAATAAAGCAAGCTTCCATCTTCATTAAAATTAGGAAATATTCATATCTGGACTCATGATACAGTGTTTATAAAAGGTGTTTCAGACTAGTGAAAACTGTACTGATGTGAAGACAAGCACAGAGAAGTATGGCAGCTTCAAATTTCCTGGGCTGCCTAGACAGAGTGCAGAATTCTTCAAAATAGTTGTCACAGCCTTGTCTTGAAACAGGCTTAGGGTGCATAGATTCACAGCAATGTTCTGTCAGCACCGAGGGACCTCAGATGTATAGGAAGCACATGGATACCCTATCTTGGCCATCTTAGAAGACTACAGGTAGGTGGGTGTAGGGTGAACTGAGGGGAACAAGCAGCTTCCCAGCTTTTATGTTTGCTAAAGATGAGTGGAGACATCACCATGTACCCAAAACTCCAATAAGGGGAGGAGGGGAACTTTCTGCCAGTCCAGAGCCCATTCAACATTTACAGGGGATTGGTAAGATTTCTGGACACAATAAGCCCAAAGTTATCATCAGCTCATTTGTCTGGTCTGTGCCCTTACTCTTCTTTCTCATGTGGCTCAAGAATAATATGCCCTCCTCAGCTCAAGGATGGAAAATATTAAAAAAGAAATCAGCATGGGATTTATGTGAACAGGGTTGCATTTGAAAAGAAATATCACATATACACACAAAGGTAGATGAATAAAACACATTAGAAAGATTAGATCACAAAGCAGTAAAAATTAAGACAACATATTTCTCTAAGAAGCAATCTGACAATGTATATTAATATCAAATATACACACTCCCGTCAGTCCACCTAGGAAACCACCATATAGACTTGTCCTGCCCAATATGGTCAAGCTGCTAATTGAACTATTGAACTATTTTATATGTGGAACAGAGGAAACTAAAATTTTACTTTAAAAAACTGATGCTCGGGGATCCCTGGGTGGCGCAGCGGTTTGGCACTTGCCTTTGGCCCAGGGCGCGATCCTGGAGACCCGGGATCGAGTCCCACGTCAGGCTCCCAGTGCATGGAGCCTGCTTCTCCCTCTGCCTGTGTCTCTGCCTCTCTCTCTCTCTCACTGTGTGACTATCATAAATAAATAAAAATTAAAAAAAAAATTTAAAAAAAATAAAAAAAATTAAAAAAAAATAAAAATAAAAAACTGATGCTCATTTCAGTTATTGGAAAGCCTTTAAGTGTATTTGGAACAATTTGGGCATGTGTATTTACTTTCAACTAAATTTTATGAAATCTAAATACAGATCAAGTATTGCCAATGAAAATGTGTCTTAAGATGTGTTCTAAGTATAAAAAAATATACTGGATTTTAAATGATTAGTTCAATAAAAAGAATATGAAATAATTCATTGAAATGATAATATCATGGGTTTATTGGGTGAAATATACTATTAAATTTAATATTACCAGTTTCCTTTTACATTTTTAACATGGTGACTAGAAAATTTTAAATCACATGTGACTTGCATTATATTTTTATCAGCTACCACTGCTATAGAATAAAGCTAATAATATGTGAAGTAAATGGGCAGGTATTGTTCCAAGTAGTCAAAACCAAAACCAAATCCCCAAAAGTGGATGCTTGTCTTTAGAGGAATGGTTAATACATATACATAATATGTCATGGAATATTATGAAGCCTTTGACAAAAATAAAGTTTTGCCAGTGGACCTGAATATCCACAAAGTATTATTATTATTATTATATTCATTTATTCATGAGAGACACACAGAGAGAGGCATAGACACAGGCAGAGGGAGAAGAAGGCTCATCATGGGGTGCCTGATGTGGGACTCGATCCTGGAACTCTGGGATCACGATCTGAGCTGAAGGCAGATGATCAGCCACTGAGCCACCCAGGCATCCCACAGAAAGTAATATTATTGAAGAAAAGTAAGCTGCAGAGAAATGTGAGTGGTCCCAGAATATCCCAGTATGGTAAAACAACCATACCAATCCTCAATAAGATACGTTTGTAAAACAGGACCTGAACAGGAACGAAAAGTACAGAAAGCTATATGTCAAATTATTTTACCTGGGTTGCGTGTATGTGGTGGGCCAGGGATAAGGAAGAGGAAGAAAGCAAGTAGCAAGAATGTAAGATGTTTAATTACTTCCTTCTCCCAGCATATATATTACCTCATTTGTGTGGTATCGTACACACAGACACACACACACACACGCACACACAGAATAAGAAGGGAAGCATAGAGTTAGAACGATATAAAATGACTTGGTAGGAATGTCCAAGATATATTGCCAGATGAAAAGAAGCTGAACAAGATATTTAAGTGGACTCTTTCTAGTTCCATAGAAGCAACAAATCCTCTACGTGTTTATATATGTTTGAAGGAAGGTGTGTGTGTTTGTCACTTTTTATTACAAATGGATATTACTTTCTGCAACTGAAAAAAAAGAAAACTTTAAAAACAGGACAGTAATTATTGCTTTCTTTGAAATAAGAGACCTCAGAGAAGAGCTATAAGTATCCAAAGAACAGTAATGGCAACAGACAGAATTTGAAAATTAGTTGGCCATAGAAGCACACAGAAAGAGGAAAGAAATTCTCTTTGAGAGTCTCAGGTATCAGCAAAATAGAAAACTGCAAAGAAGTGACACGATAAAAAGGAGTTAGAAAGATAATAGCCACAGTAAACCAAAAGAACCAACATATGAATAACTGGAACACCTGACATAATGAAGAATTTTTTTTTTAATATTGCCACAAGGATCATAGAGAAGAGAGGGAAAAAACATGTAAATGTAGTTTCCTAAAGTAAAATCTAAATACTGAAAGGGCATATAAATTTTAAGAAAAATTTGATTCAAATGATCAATAGTTAGGAGTATCCTAGTATATTATACTTTAGAGATAAAGAGTCCTTTGGGACTTTAATATCATTCTTCACCTCTATTGTCACACACACACACACACACACACACACACACACCACACACACACCAGCTACTTATATATACATTTCAAAAAATTGTGCACGAACAAGAAAGAAACCATAGCTAAAATAAATTCAAGTATTCCAAAACCCTTTTCACGTATCTCTTTCTGGAGAATCACCTTTTGACTCAGTCATTGGTGTTCTTGTTTCCTCACACAATGTGGTCTTTGTGTTATTAAGAGAATTGGTGATGAGCATTTCATTTAAGAGCACCCTGTCATTGTCTCAGGAATTTTCTTCTGACACACATTAAATCTCAGAACCCATTGAGGAAGGTTCTTATCTGATACCCAGGAAGCAGCTTTGGTGCTGCTGCTTTCCTGGTGAATGGAAGTGTCTGTGGAAGGCTTCGAATGTCAACCAGGACTTAGTTTTCTCCCTCCAATGGTTCTTAAGGGACATTTCGACAGAAAAGTAGTGCTATTTTCCAGTAATGTCAACAGGAACAAACCAATTTTACACAAGAGTAGACTTTCTGTTACGGGACAGGTGACTCCTTGAAGGGAGACATGGATATCGTGCATCCATGTAGTATATCATATTTTTTTTCCCAAAATGCTCACTATCCTTCCCTAGGACAGGATAATTCATCCATAACCATTGACATTGCGCTCATCATGATTAGCTTTGGGTGATGGAATGTAGTAGAAGTGAAGGGTCCTTTGTAGCAGAAGTTTTAAGAGCCACCTTTTTTTCCACCTCTCACAACATACCCCACATAGTGGCTGCTCCTTTAGCCTGGGTCCTAGAAGTGAAGACAATATGAATTACCACCAGAATTGACCCTCAATAGGCATATGGTGTAAGAGAAAAATAAACTTGCAAGTCACCAAGGTTTTTTGGCTTATATCCTATTGCAGCAAAATTTAGGGTAAGCTGATTGGTATAAATCTCTAAGCATATAGTATTTAAAACCTGATTCTAGAATGGTCAAAAAGTTCTCTTAGGGAATGCTTGATTTCTGTAAGAATTCCTCAGGCAGGCAATGAGCGGGTGATAAGTGATTGATTCTTTTCCATGTGAGATTCAACTTCTGGCTGTTTTAGGTCAGCCAGGGTGACTGCAGTGACCTCCCTGAGTCATTTTAGAAGGGAGCCACTCTGGGTGTGGCTGAGCCACAGCCCCATTGTTGTTACCCTTCATTTATGCCTGTATTCTGGTAAAATGCCATAAAATTCTAGGGTCAGAAAACATCTTTGGGACTGGAGACAAGAGCTCATCTTAAGATACCATAGTAGTGGGATCCCTGGGTGGTGCAGCGGTTTGGCGCCTGCCTTTGGCCCACGGCGTGATCCTGGAGACCCGGGATCGAATCCCACGTCAGGCTCCCGGTGCATGGAGCCTGCTTCTCCCTCTGCCTCTCTCTCTCTCTCTCTCTCTCTCACTATCATAAATAAATACAAATTTAAAAAAAAGATACCATAGTAGTTGTCATAGTAGTTGTTAGTGGGGAAGGGTTTGCAGAAGGGAAGGAAGGAGAGGAGCGTGATTCTGGAGATCCGAAAGATTCACTCCTGTTTTCCTTTTTTCCAATTAAAGCTGATTCCACAATGAAAGTATCAATCTGTGAAGAATAGTTTTTTTTTCCTTCCCAAAGCAGAAAATTCAGCATCTATACCTACAGTTCCATTGGAGAAGCAGCTGCACTCAAAATGCATCAGGGATCCAACTGCAGTTCAGTGTTGGTGGAGTTAACAATTTGCAGCAGCCCCTTAAAGAAGACAAGCTGTGGTTTCCTCCTGGGATGATGACACCAGGACCGTTGACAATAGTGCTGGTGAAAAGTGTAATAAAACAGTTAGTTGGGCTGTAGAACAGAAAAAGTAGATAAACAGGAGAAGTCAGATTAAACATAGCATCAAAGGGCAAATGGGGTAGGGATATTGATTTTGCAGATAGAAACTGTACAGAGTGGGAGTGGCCAGATGGGTCACTGGTGGCACCTCATGCACTGTAGCCCACCACTATCACTATCACCATGTTTTCAGGACAGCCTGCACTGCTTGGTGCCCTTGAAAGAGAGGCAGTAACAAAGAATTAGTGCTTGGGTACAAGTTAAGGGTATGGACTCTATAGACAGAAAGACCTAAAGTTTGCATCTTTATTGTCCTTGGGAAAGTGGTATAGCCTCCTCAAGGCCTATTTTTATTGAACACTAAAAAGAGCAATAGTTCTTACCTTATACTGTGGTTTCCAGGGTTAAATGAGCTAATTCATACAAAGTGCCTATCACAAAGCTGAGGGCAAAAGAAATGCTTGCATAGCACTAGCTAGTATTATAGTTCCTAGTCTCAGCTGAGAAAAGTCAAAATGAAGGGTGATCTAATCCAAATAAATTTTTGCACGAGTTATTTATTTTTTAAAAAAAGTTTATTTATTTAGAAGAGAGAGAGAGAGAGAGAGAGTGTGAGTGTGAGTGGGGTGTGGAACAGAGGGAGAGGGACAAACAGACTCCCCACTAGGTTCTGAGCCTGAGGCAGGGTTCCATTTTAGCACCCTGGGATCACCAGCTGAGCTGAAATCAAGAATTGGACACTCAACTGACTGAGCCACCCAGGTGTCCCACAGGTTCTTATTTTTAAACAGATTTATGAAGTTATAAAAATAAGTGGATGGGCTCTATAGGTCTAATTTGTTTATTAATAATGGATATGAAGAAGTTAGACTCAAGAATACAATACCTGTTCAATAGAGATTGACAACAAGATACCACATCTGTTGTGTTCGTAGGTGAACTGGAGTTGAAGGCATTCTCTAAAATGTAATGGCAGTTGATGTCTACGGGGCTGCTGGAGAGTAGTCCTGGAAGTGAAATAGAGTGTCATCTATTTTGTTAATTTACGACATTACTGTGCCCTCCTGTTCCTAGCTTCTCAACCATGTTCCACACATTTCACTTTACAATATGCTCAGCAGCAGCTCTGCGTCTCAGCTTCCGACAGTAGCATATGCTGCATCTGCAGGTTGGAGGCACGGCCCCCCTGAAAGCTGCCATTCTGTGGGCTCTGGAAGACAGGACACAAAGGATGGCATGTGGTACCTGCAATACAGGCTGTCATGAAGCAGGCAACGGTCCCTGCAATCAGAGCTCTCACTGACCCCGATGTGATATCACGCTTTCTGGAAGGAGCCATAGATGCTGGGAAACATGGAAGAAGGAGATTAATGTTGAGGTAATTGATTGGGAATTCCAAATCTCCAGCCTCTGAGAATTGTTCTAGGGCTGGGAGTCTCATGACTTTCTTTTCTTTCTTTCTTTCTTTCTTTCTTTCTTTCTTTCTTTTCTTTCTTTCTTTCTTTCTTTCTTTCTTCTTCTTCTTTCTTTCTTTCTTTCTTTCTTTCTTCTTTCTTTCTTTCTTCTTCTTCTTTCTTCTTCTTCCTTCCTTCCTTCCTTCCTTCCTTCCTTCCTTCCTTCCTTCCTTCCTTCCTTCCTTCCTCCTTCCTTTCTTTTTTTCCAAATTAGCTGGGAAAAATAAAGATTCTAGAACTTAATGATGAGCTTTACATCCAGAGAAGTTCTCTGGTGGGAGAGGAAAGGAAGACATTTTTCCACAGGCCCAGAAGCTTCCATTTTCTAAGAAGAAGCAAGTCCTAAGTTTTATCATAGTGTATGGAGGGCATGGCAAGGCAAACAGATTTCAAGGAAAGATCCAAACATTTGCAACTCATCGTCACCATTTATTTCTATGCCTATGGAAGACATCACTAATTAATAACAGCATTTTTCTACTTTCACCAGGCCTCAGAATCCTTCTCCAGGGGCCCTTAAAAATTGACTGGAATTGTCATACAAAGTGAGACCTAGTGTCATCCTTGGGTAGACAAGCACCTGTACATTTGAACAAATTCTTTCTGAGTTTAGCTTGGGTATACAAAGGAAAACTATATGGCAGAACAGGGATAAAAATAGACTGCAAAGGATTTACTACTGTCCTTAGGGCCTTTTCTTCCCCTGACACAAATAATGTTACAGAGCCAGATGGAGATTGAATGTATGTTTATGTCACATACATTATTAAAGAAAATTCTTTTCACTTACTAAGTCCGCCGATCACTATTCCTAGAGAACCGATATTCGCAAAGCCACAGAGAGCGTAAGTGGCAATTGTCTCAGAACGAATCTGTAAACAAGCATAAACACTTAGAAGTATACATGGCGTGACTAGCTTAGTAAATCTGACATCCTAACCAGGCTTCCTTTTCTGACTATGGAATTAATATTGACAAATAAATATTCAGTGCATGATGTCAAACAACTGTTGTTTCATAGACTTTTTTTTTGTCTCCCCTTGAATTTTGAGAGAGGGAAAAGGGCTGTGTGGATTCAGAGATTTTCTACAAAGGAGTTGGAATTGATAATCTTGGCCTCTACAAATGCCACTTTCAGCCCAATGAAAACATTCTTTTTTTTAAGATTTTATTTATTTACTTATGAGAGACACACAGAGAGAGGCAGAGACATAGGTGGAAGGAGAAGCAGGCTCACCATGGGGAGCCCGATGCAGGACTGGATCCAAGGACCCCAGGATCACGACCTGAACCAAAGGCAGACACTCAACTGCTGGGCCACCCAGGCATCCCTTCTTCCTTGTTTTTATTAAATATTTTTATTTATGTGAGAGAGAGCACTAGCTGGGGGATGGGCAGAGGGAGAAGCAAGCTTAGGTCAGGACTTCAGGATGATGACCTGAGCCAAAGGCAGCTGCTTAACCAACTGAGCTTCCTAGGCACCCCCAATGATAACTTCTAATATTCAGTATGACCTGGCCACCTGCTATAATGTACCAGGCCCAGTGCTAGCTACTGAAGATATAAGATTGGTTCCAGAAAGTATTCACATTACATTTGTTTGACAAAGGATTTATTTAGAATCTATAAAGGGCTGTTATAATTTAATAATAAGAGGACAAGCACCTAATAAAAAATGACTAAAATGTTTTTACAAGATATATATATATATATGTATATATATCACATCAGAATTTCTTCTTGTGATTGAGTTCTAGATTTTACAAGATATATATATATATATATAATATATATATATCACATCAAAAGATGTTTGACATCATTAGTCACCAGAGAAATGCAAAACAAACAGTAACATAATACTACACATCCACTAAAATGGCTAAAAAATCAGACAATACCAAGTGTTGACAAGGATGTAGAATAATTGGATTTCTTGTACATTGTTGGTGGGAATATAAACTGACACAACCTGTTTATAAAGTACAAACATGCTTGACAGTTTCTTATCAAGTTGGTAGACATAGCCTACATTATCCAGCAAAAATGTTCTTTGGAATTTTCCCTGGAGAAGTAAAAATCTATATCCACAAGAAGATTGTACATGAGTATTTATGGCAGCTATAATAGCTTCAAGCTAGAAACAATGCAAATACCCTTCAACAGACAAATCGATAAGCAAATTATGGATATCTATGAAATAGAATACTACTCTTAGTAAGTATAGTAATAGTAAGAAGGAAAATATATACATGCAACTACATGAAAGCTAAGTGAGTCCATTTGTATGACTTTACAAGCAAATGTAATCTATAGTGAATGAAAGATCAGGCTGTCTGGGAAAAAGGGGGTGGGTTGGGGTACTATTGACTGCAGGTGGCCCTGAGAGAAATTTTCCAGGTGTGATAGAAATGTTCTATATATTCATTGCAGTTGTGGTTACACAGGTGATACATTTGTCAAAACTCGTATATACACAAAAAAAGGAACTTTATTGTACATAAATTATACTTAAAAGGAAAGGGATTAATTTAGTTAAGAGGAAACACAGGTATAATAAGAGTTCCTTTCATTCATAAAGAGATTAATTTAGTAAAGAGGAAACTCACAGATATAATAGGAGTTCCTTTCATTCTGGCTGTGGTGTGTCCTTGCCTCTCTTTGGTCCTCAGCTCTAACCATCCCCTGGGAATGTCAGGTGCCCACGTTTACAGGGCAGTAGAAAGATGGAGGGTGAATTTGTGGAAGTGTGAGCATAGCCATCTAGTTCTGTTCTGACAACCAAGAGGTGTTGCTCAGGCCAGATAATTGTGATGCCCCCAGCTTTGATTTTCTTACTCAGCATTTTACTGGTTATACAGAGTCTTTTCTGATTCCATACAAATCTTAAGATTATTTGTTCCAACTCTGTGAAGAAAGAGCAAGGTGTTGATAAGGATTGCATGTAATGTGTAAATTGCTGTGAGAAGTATAGACTTTTTCATAGTATTTATTCTCCCAATCCACAAGCATGGACTTTGTTTCTTTGTGTCTTCCTCAGTTTCTTTAATAAGTATTTTGTAGTTTTTAGAATATAGATCCTTTTACCTCTTTAGTTAGGTATATTCCTAGCTTTCTTATGCTTTGGGTGCAATTATAAAAGGGATTGATTCCTTAATTTCTCTTTCTTCAGTCTCATTGTTAGTGTACAGAAATGCCACTGATTTCTCTGCATTGATTTTGTATCCTGCCACATTACCGACTTGCTGTATGAGTTCTAGAAATCTGGGGGTTGAGTCTTTGGGTTTTCTATATACAGTGTCATGTCATCTGTGAAGTAGGAGAAGTTGACTTCTTCTTTGCCAATTTGAATGCCTTGTTTTTTGAATGCCTTTTATTTCTTTTTGTTATCTGATTGCTGAGGCTAGGACTTCCAGCACTATTTTGAATAACAGTGGTGAGAATGGACATCCCTGTTGTGTTCCTGATCTTAGGGCAAAAGCTCTCAGTTTTTCCTCATTGAGAGTGATATTTGCTGTGGGCTTTTCATAGATGGCTTTTATTGTATGAGGAATGTTCCATCTATCCCTACACTGTCAAGAGTTTTAATCAGGAATGGATGCTGAATTTTGTCAAATGCTTTCTTTGCATCTACTGAGAGGATCATATGGTTCTTGTCTTTTCTCTTATTAATGTGATGTAACAGGTTGATTGTTTTACAAATGTTGAACCAGCCTTGCATCCCAGGGATAATTTCCACGTGGTCATATTGAATAATCCTCTTAATATACTGTTGGATCCTATTGGCTAGTATCTTGGTGAGAATTTTTGCATCCATGTTCATCAGGGATATTGGTCTGTAATTCTCCTTTTTGTTGGGGTCTTTGTCTGGTTTTGGGATCAAGGTAATGTTGGCCTCATAAAACGAGTTTGGAAGTATTCCCTCCCTTTCTATCCTTTGAAACAGCTTTAGTAGACTAGGTATTATTTCTGCTTTAAATGTCTTTTAGAGTTCCCCTGGGAAGCCATCTGGCCCTGGACCTTTGTGTCTTGGAAGGAGTGTGATGACTTCTTCAATTTCCTCACTGGTTATTGGCCTGTTCACGTTTTCTATTTCTTCCTGTTTCAGTTTTGGTAATTTGTGAGTTTCCAGAAATGCATCCATTTCTTTCAGATTGCCTAATTTGTTGGCATATAGCTGCTAATATTTTCAAAATTTGTATTTTCTTGATATTGGCTGTGATCTCTCCTCTTTCATCCGTGATTTAATAATATCAGTCTTCTCTTTTCTTTTTAATAAGGCTGGCTAGGGGTTTATCTATCTTATTAATTCTTTCAAAGAACCAGCTCCTTGTTTTGTTGATCTCTCCTACAGATCGTCTGATCTCTATCTCATTGAGTTCTGCTCTAATCTTTATTATCGCTCTTCTTCTGCTTGGTTCAGACTTTATTTGCTGTTGTTTCTCCAAATCCTTTAGGTGCAAGGAAGGTGCAAGCTTGTGTATTTGAGTTTTTTTCCCAGTTTTTTGAGGGAGGCTTGTATTGGAATGTATTTCCCTCTTAGGACTGCTTTTGCTGTATCTCAAAGATTTTGAATGTTTGTGTTTTCATTTTCACTAGTTTCCATGAATCTTTTAAGTTCTATTCTAATTCCCTGGCTGATCCATTCATCTTTTAGTAGGACGCTCTTTAACCTCCATGTTTTTGGGTTTCTTCCAAATTTCTTCTTGTGATTGAGTTCTAGTTTTAAAGCACTGTGGTCTGAAAATATGCAGAGGACAATCCCAATCTTTTGGTATTGGTTGAGACCTGATTTCTGACCCAATATGTTGTCTATTCTAGAGAAAGTTCCATGTGCGCTTGGGAAGAATGTGTATTCAGTTGCATTTGGATGCAATGTTCTGTATATATCTGTAAAAACTATTTGGTAAAGTATCATTCAAGACCCTTGTTTCTTTGGTGATGTTCTGCTTAGATCTGTTACTTGCTGAGAGCGCCCTGTTGAAGTCTCCTACTGTTAGTATATGATTATCTAAGTATCTCTTTACTTCGGTTATAATGGATTGATATACTTGGTGGCTCCCACATTAAGGGCATAAATATTCATGATTCTTAGGTTTTCTTGTTGGATAGACCCTTTAAGTATGTTATAGTGTCCTTCTTCATCTCTTACTACCGTCTTTGGGATAAACTCTAGTTTATCTGATATGAGGATTGGTAACTCAGCTTTCTTTTGAGGGTCATTTGAAAGATAATTTTTTTTATTTATTTATGATAGTCACACAGAGAGAGATAGAGAGAGGCAGAGACACAGGCAGAGGGAGAAGCAGGGTCCATGCACCGGGAGCCCGACGTGGGACTCGATCCCGGGTCTCCAGGATCGCGCCCTGGGGCAAAGGCAGGCGCCAAACCGCTGCGCCACCCAGGGATCCCCCCATTTGAAAGATAAATGGTTCTCCACCCCTTCATTTTCAGGCTGGAGGTGTCCTTAGGTCTAAAATGAGTCTCTTGTAGACAGTATATAGATGGGTCTTGCTTTTTTATCCAGTCTGATACCCTGTGTCTTTGGTTAGTATCATTTAGCCCATTTACGTTCAGACTAACTATTGAAAGATATGAATCTAGTGTCATTGTATTATGTATTCAGTCCCTGTATTTGTGGATTGTTTCTTTGGGCTCCCTCTTTCTTTTTACTGGGTCCCCCTTAATATTTCTTGCAGAGCTGGTTTTGGGGTCACATATTCTTTCAGTTTCTGCCTAGCTCGTTCAGAGCTGCCTATTGGAAGCTCTTTATCTCTCCTTCTATTCTGAATAACAGCCTTGTTGGATAAAGTATTCTTGGTTGCATGTTCTTCTCATTTAATACCCTGTAAATATCATGCCAGACCTTTCTGGCCTGCCAGGCTCTGTGGAGAGGTCTGCTGTTAATCTGATATTTCTCCCAATATAAGTGAAAAATCTCTTGTCCCTCACTGCTTTAAGGGTTTTCTCTTTATCTTTGAAACTTGCAAGTTTCACTATTTAATGCTGAAGTGTTGAATGATCTTTATTGATTTGGGGGAGGGTCTTCTCTACCTCTTGGATCTGAATGCCTGCTTCTTTCCCCAGATTAGGGAAGTTCTCAGCTATTATTTATTCAAATATCCTTTATGGTCCTCTCTTTCTCTCTCAGCCATTTCTGGAATCCCAGTTAGATGTATTTTTTCCTTCTCAAGCTATCATTTATTTCCCTAAGCTTTTCCTCATGGGTTCTTAATTTTCTCTTTTTTCCTCAGCTTCCTTCTTTTCTGTCAACTTGCCTCTTATATCACTCACTCTCTCTTCCACTCCATTAACCCTAGCAGTTAGAGCATCCAGTTTTGATTGCATCTCATTTAATCTATTTTAAATTTTGGCCTGAGGAGATCTCAATTCTGTAATAATGAAGTCTCTAGAACCCTTTATGCTTTTTTTCCAGAACCACTGGTAGCTTTATAATTAAACTTCTGAATTGAATTTCTGAAATTGTATTTAAATCCTAATTCTGTAACTCTATGGCAGAGAGTATTGTTCTGCTTATTTCTTTTGTGATGAATTCTTCTTTCTAGTTATTTTGTCCAGTGCAGAATGGCCCTCTTCTTGTGGTGATATGAAATGATAAAATGCCTCTGTGATGTGATAAAGGGTAATAAATGATGTAGGTGTTCTGATGTAATGTTAGATGATACGTCAGAAGGAGGAGCATCTACTTCTGAACCCTGGTTAATCTTGGTCAACTGAAACTATGTTGAGCACACTCCCTCAGATCTGAGAAACCACTCTACTCCAGAGTGGGTTCCATCTGGAGTTTTATAATAAGGGAACAGGAGGCTAAAATGTTACTGTTCTTCCTTTTCCCATATTTGAGTGATGGAAAGAGCTACATTGCACTAGGAAATCAATAATACATCGTTTGGTTCTCCCAGAGCCTGAGCAACGTTGCTGGATATACAGGGATAGTCATTGTAACACTGCTTCCAATAGCAGAAAATTGGTAGCAGTGTCCATCAACAAAAGACAGCTTAAAATTAATAATTGTGTTCAGTCTATAGAATACTCTTTCACAGACACTGATAGGGAATGGCATCCAAGATATCTTATTAAGTGCAAAGAGCAAGAGTAAGAGCATAATACGGTACAAGGAGAATAGCTGAGCAGCAGAAAAATAGGGAGGATGACTTACTTGTCCCTCTTGCTTTTTTGTACCTTTTTAATACTATACCAGGGTGTGTATAAATTAAGTGTAAACAAACAAACATGCACAGTATTTCTTTTATGTTAAGAAAGAAGAGATGTTGGCATAATGAAGAGCTCATCCTGTGGACAACATGCTACATACATATTCTGACCTGGATAACATTGGGCTTTGCTTCATGGACCTAGATCTTATGCATTGGTCATGTGGTGCCTTTTCCCGGGGATGATGTGACACCCCCACCACTTGTTGGTTGGTAAACAAAAATTGCAGGTACTCATCCCCATTTTGTTGCCTGTAAATAGGAAAATGGGAAAAGATGCTTTTGCCATTTTGACTAAACAGTAGCAGAAGCTATTGGGCTCCTGTCTTCAAATATCCTCTGTGGATCTGCCTCTGGTTGGGATCACTCCCAACCCAAATCAGTCCTACTGTTCTGTTTCTATTCTTGTAATAATGTGCACAAACCTGCTCGGCACTGCTAGGATTATGAGCTTCCATTGCTCAGTATAAAAACTACTTTCTTTTGGTCAGAAGGTTGCCCATTTTCCTAAGAGTTTCCGTGTGTGGGACAATTCTGTTTTTCAGGAAAGAAAAGCTGGAGACTCGGCTGTAAAATATGACCTAAGTAATGGCTTCACCCACATTCCCTTGTCCCATCTGAGGTCAAGCAGACATGAACAAAGGCTTGGAGTGTATTGATCTGAAGTCCTGACATAGTTATAGGGTGCTTGTCTCAAAAATTCAGACCACAACCCAAGCTCTTCTCTTCCTTCATTCACTTGAAGAGTAGCAACTGTGTCTCACTATTTCCTTAGGATTTCCAGGCACTATTTTGCATTTGGGCAGTTTCTCAGAGTTCATAGACTTTCTAAGGCTGGAAGGAAGAGACCCTTGACATTATTAGACTATGATCCCATGAGGGCAGAAACCTCATCACTTGTTCCATGTTGTGGCCTCAGTGTATATAGGTGCTTTGCACCCAGAAGATAGGTGGCAAATATTTTTTCATTGATTCTTGTCCCAGCTCATCTGACTCTAGGTTTGGATCCACAGGTCTCAAAAGTAAATGATCATAGTAGTAAGGACTAGCTGTATATACTTCACACAGAGATACACACACACACGGATTAATTCAACATAATTGAAAATTATGAGGTGCTATGTTCAGTATGAGCTCCATGAGATCAGGGATTTTTGGTTTGTCTTTTTTCTCTTATGTATACCCAAATGCCTGGCCTACTATGCACAAGCACCAGTGACTATTTGACCAATGTAGATATGTGAAAAAGAAGTGTATTGAGAAATCAATGTATTTACTCACCGACATGTATTGTTGCACACCATTCACAAATTGGGGTCCGGCCTCCTTTCTTAAACTGATCAATTTTGAGAGGTGTTCATAAGCGACAAATTCATTGAAAAATGTCTTATAGCCTATGAGTTTGGCCACCATGAAGCTGTCTTGCCATTCCACTCCCATCATGAAGGAAAAGGGCATGAAGACATAGGAGCATATTATCTACAAAACTCAAAAACAGATTCCTTATTAGAGTGGTGATTTGCTTCTTGTTTCTCTGCCTCACCCTTGTTACAAGATTTTTCTCAATCTCTCTATATGTCCTTTAGGTGTAGAAATTTCTTCACATTGCTTTGCTCAACTCTTTCCATTAGGAGTCAAGGTTGGCATTGTGTTATATGAAGTCACCTGAATTTCTGGCATGAGGTCAATCATTCTCTCCAGGAGGGTGATAGGAGTTGGGGGGCAGGAGGAGGTGGGAAGATGGGAGATACATGATGAGTGTGTGCATTGTGTAAGAGTATACTACAGGTGGTTACGGAAGGCAATTCACAAACCTATTTTAAAAAAAAAAAACAAAGATAGGTGGAAACAAAATGGAGAGAGACATGATAGAATTATACCTCAAAACTCAGTTGTGGGTAGTCAAACATGTTTCCAAGCCAGGACAAGGCTGCATTCACAAAAGACAACAGGGCCAGGAAGGCAATCAGATTCACAGCTATATTTGCCACAAGGGAGATGGATGAGGATGCTCCCTGTGTTGCAGCTTCTAGGAGGTTCCTTGAATCACTTTATCAAAAAATAGCAATTTCAGAATTACCAAGGTGTTGTCAGTGGATGGACATCACAGGTGTAAGAATGGAATAATCAGAGCTCATTTGGGTGGAGACACAACCTCGCAAGCTCATGCCTTGGTCAAAATAACTAAATTCTATGACATCACTTATAATTGCTTATAATTCCTGAGTGTAGGTGATGGTCATATGGGTGTCTCATGGTTATACTACTCTGTTAATTGGGGAAGAGGTTATAATTAAAATTTGGGAAAAGATAAAAATATTATAGGTTTAAAAATTATATTAAGGTAGCTACTAGAAAATATTAGTAAAATATTAGTTCATGGCATAAGAACTAATAATTCAAAGAAGGCCTGAATATCCATCACCTCATTTAAGAAATGGAATGCAACCATCATTTTTGAGTACCCCCTCTTCCTTAATCTTATCCTCTTCTCTTTAATCTCAGAGGTACCTGGCTCCTTAGAGGTTGCTTATCATTCCCTTTCTTTTCCCTTTTCCTATGTGAGTGTGTACCTAAATAATATGTTGCATAGATTTACACATTTGCTTAACTTTACAAGAGGAATCACACCTATTCCATAGATGTATTCTTTGACAAGTTGCTTTTTACTGACTATACCTATATACAAACAGGGGATGAATCCCAGCAACATGTTTGTTGATGGATTCTGTTATTGAATTTGATTATTTTGACTACCTTGAACCCCTTTATCCTTTTCACCCTTTCTTCCTTTCTTTTGCACAGGGCAAAAAAATGAACTGAAGAGGGGTTAAAGATATCTATATCATACCTTCATACTCCCTATTATATAAGAAACTTCCAGAAATGGTTGTCCCATTGCTTTCCAACGGTCTTAAATCAGTGCTCAATAAACACTACACCACATTTAAAATGAAATATCTACATTCAACGGTTAAGGAAATGTATTGACATTCAAGTATTTAGGAAGCTTTTCAAGTATTGAAGAAGGATTTTTTTTTTTGGAAGTCTAATGAAGCCTGATAGTCACTGGGAAATTACATTCATTTTAAGATCATGGGCTCTCCAATGATCAACTTTTGTCTGTGCTTTGAATTTGGACACCCCCATCCCACCTCCCCAGCTTGTAGGAATGAGGTATCCCACTTACCCAGTTTCCATTTTCATGGCATTCTTGAGGGTTATTTTAGGTGTTTCTGTCTCAGGCCAGAAGAGTTTAGCCACAGCCAACGATGCAGGCGCGGACATCACTGAAGCAGTTAAAAGGTGGGAGGGTGAAACCTGTGGTTTTGGGAGAAGGGCCAGCTGAAGTGTAGCTTTTCTGTTGTGCTCAGAATGAACAGCCCAAAAGCTTTACAAGGGGAGAGAAGGGCAGAATGGAGCCTGCCTCACAATAGTGTATTTTTGGAGGCTTGGGAGCACTCAGTGAGCCATGTCAGCATCACCTTGAGAGTCAGAGGACGAAGGGAGGAATTTGTGCTAATTGACCACATCCTTTGGTGAGAAGCCCAAAACCAAAATCTAATCATTTCAGAAGAGAATGAATCCTGGTAAAAACTTCCGAAGAAGATTCCTCTCCCTCCCTGTGGATCTGATGAATGTTTAAATAGTCCCGAAAGCACGTATTTCATTAGATCATCAGTTTAGACAAGGGAAGTGTCTGGGGTGCAGGCACAGGTACACCCCTCTCTGTCTTCCTTTCAGTCTTCTGAATTCTGTGGTGCCTTTATATAATATTCATTTATCCAGAGTCCCTTTAATCTGTAAGTGATTTCTGTTTCCCTCACCTACTTAAACTCTTTTGCCTTTCGTCCCCACATGCTTATTTTGTTTCTGAATTCTCTTCCCTATATTTTCAGAATGCTGGAATCTGCACTTCCCTCCCCACTCCCAGTCCAGCCAGCACATTTTCACAGGCAGCATTCTTAGAGCGGTGGCTGAGTGGACCATCTGCAGATCCAAACTGCTATTCCTGAGATCTCTTTCAGCTCCTCCCCTTATTTATTTATTTATTTATTTATTTATTTATTTATTTATTTGGCAGAGGGAAGGACAGAGAGTACAAGCAGGTGGAGGGAGAGGGAGAAGCAGGCTCTTTGTAGAGCAGGGAGTTGGATGCGGGCTCCATCTCAGTACTCTGAGATCATGACCTGAGATGAAGGCAGATGTTTATCTGGCTGAGCCTTCCAGGCACCCCCTCTTCCACTTTTGCTCTTCCCTCTTCCTATTGGTTGCTCTCTGAGGACTGGTTGAGGTGGAGGGATGAAACCCCCCTCTCTAGTAAGAGCTCCTACTCACCTGGGGCCACACCTCTTCATTTTTCCGTGTCTGCACTGGAGGCTGCCCCTCTCTGGGGCTTACAAGCTCTGTGCTTGGGGCACAAGCTCGGTTATAATGCTCTGAGGCTCTGTGCCACACACCAGCAGCTCTCTAACTGGGTTGCACATAAGAATGTACAGGAGGAATTTTTAAAAAAAATTACTGATGCCTGGGTCTCACCCCAAGAGCTTCTGGTTTAATTACTCTGTGGCATGGGCCTGGATGTCCGGGTTCTTAAACATTCCTGGATGATTCTAAATGTGCAGTTAAGTTTTGAGAACCACTGCTCTAAGCCACTGGTCATAAAACTTTTCCTGTGAAGGGCCAGAGAGTAAACATTTTTTGCTTTTTCAGGCCACAACTACTCAAATCTGTAGCATGAAAGCTGCCATAGAAGAATGAATAGAGTAGCTGGTTTCTAGTGAAACTTTAGTTATCATAAAGGGGAGCAATCTAGCTTGGCCCACGAGTCACACTTTGCCGACCCTCAGTCTAGACTGCCTTTACTAGTGACAGTAATAATGGTTTTGTTATTGTTTTATGTTGTTAGATATTTGGCCAAGGGAACCTCATAATATGATTTCATTCTACCACACTTGAATACAATTCAGTTTTAGGTGGCAGGATTTGAAAGTGAAGCCACAGAGATCCCCAGGGTCACTCCATTCCAAGGCCAGAGGAAGAATAACCAACTATACAGCAAAAGGACATTCTTTGGCCTCCTATTCCAACAGCAGTGGTCAACAAAAGACAGAGATATAGAGGATAGTTATAGATCAGCAAAGAAAGAAGAGGTTGAATTTTCCATAAATTTATCTTCAAATGTTCTTACCCCAAAAGAAATGTATGCACCCAAGACACTTCCAGCAATGGTAGAGAACCCAGCTGTCATGATTGCATGGAGTTCAGACTTGGTGATGTGTGGTAGGTACGGTCGGACCAGCAGTGGAGACTCTGTCTAGAAACAAAGCAAGACAAGATTAAATGCTCTCTTTTAAATCATAGGAATGTGTGCCAATCTACTAAAGATTCTCTCTCCCTTTTATTTTTTTAATGGAGCCCAGTGCAGGGCTTAAAAACACGACCCGGAGATCAAAAACTGAGCTAAGACCAAGAGTCGGACCCCCAACTGACTGAGCCACCCAGGTCTCCCTGATTCCATTATCTAAAGCAGTATTGCTTTGTTATTTTTTGAAAGATTTATTTATTTAAGAGAGAGAGAGAGAGAGAGAGAAAGGGAAAGAGAGCACAAGTGGAAAGGGCAAAGGGAGAGGGAAGGAAATCTCAAACAGACTCCACAACAAGCTCGAAGCATGACTCGGGACTAAATCCCAGCACTCATAGAAGATCATGACCTGAGCCAAAACCAAGAATTAGATGTAAAGCAGTATTTCTAAATGTGAACCACAGACAGCTCCATCAGCATCACCTGGGAACTTACTAGATATGCAAATTCTTAGACTTACTGATTCAAAAACTATGGGAATAGGACCAACTATCATACTGTTAGAACAAGCCTTCAGTTGTGGTTCTGATGCATATTCATTTGAGAACTCACACCATTGATGTCTGGATCATTGAACTAGAGTTCAATATGTCAGTGTGCATATTGAGTCAGGTGTAAAGTTTGCAGAGTTTACAGGACCAATTCATATAAGGTCTCCACTAGCCTAGTTTACTGGCCAGGTACACTTTTCTAAAGATGGAACACTATTGCCCAAGTAACCGAGCCCTAGCCTTGTGAACTGGTGACTTCACATCTTCCAGCTTCATCGTGACCGACCATAAACCTCTTTGCTTACACCAAAGGGAAATAGAGATGCCTAAGAACATACCATCAACAACAAGGACAGGTTACAGGTGCCCACAGGGGCTATCCTAATTGGGAATCATATACCCCACTCTTCTCCTTGGGTGGAAAGGAGTTAGAGAAAGTGTAGTTGTAAGGGCTTGAATCCCATTAAGGAGGACAGGTGGCCTGTTACATGGGACTCTCTATAAATAATAGCTGTACTTTTAGCATAGTAAGTATTCAGTTGAGCACCACAGAAGCATGTGTGCAGTTTTACAAGTTTCCCCTTATTATTTGTAATTGTTCTATAAGATGGAATGTGTTGAGCTTCACTTCATGGACTAAATAGAAACTCAGTACATGAACCCTTTTACCCCGCAGGTAGGAGTAATCGAGTCAAGATGGTGTTAGATTCTACAACTTACCTGTCCAACGAATATATTGCCAGCAGCCACTACAGATTCAATAGGAGATGATCCCATAGTAACTAGCATTACCCATCCAACCTAAAAGGGGAAAAGGAACAAAGTCAGTGAAGAGCTGTTTGTATATGTGACACTTCAAAGTAGGGATGAAAATCTTTCAAGGAAAATGCTTTCAATAATTGTTGGCAGGCCAGCGATGGTGCATAATGTGAGCGTATGTTATTTAGCCTACAAAGTGGACCCATCAAATCCTCCTATGTGAATGGTAGGGCGAGTCACTGTATATCCTCTGAATTCATACTTTCATTATACAAACTATTGTCTATCAAAATGTTGTATAAGAGTAATAAATTATAATAATTGCTAACAGTCATGACAAGCTTTGCTGCATTACAAGCATTGTTTTAAGCTCTTGATTCAGGTAATGAATTTAATGATCACAACCACCCGTTTTGAGAGGTCCTGTAAACAGAGCCATTTTATAGCAAAGGAATCCAAGACACGTAGTTAACAGAACACGTTAGTTGTTTTGTCTAAGATCACCCAGCTAGTAAGTAGTGGGTTGTAGTTGAGGTTTGGCCTTTTGTGCTAAACTCTCAAATGAACATGGTTTATGGTCCCACTTCTACACTAGCCCTTCCAGCTAGAGACTGTGGTGCCCGCTTCAGAATGGGGACATCCTGTTGCATTCTGTCCTTCCTTTCTGCTTAGACATGAGCCCAGTACTGCTGAATGTTCAAGTCAACAATCAGAAAATTACACTGTTGCTGAAATTCTGAATTCAGCTGGTATTCTTTCTCTCTGCCTCTCTGACTCCCTCTCTCTCCTTCTCCTTTGTCTCTCTTTCCCTCTCAGTTATGTATTTACAAGGATCAAGGGAGGGCTATGGCTGTGCCCAATCTCTGTATGCACGTTCTGGTTTGGGTGTGCATTTGCACTAACTTACACATTTCCTCAGGTTCTGATTTAACACAAGTCTAGTAGAACTGACAGATGCTGAGGTGGCAGGAATGAGATGAACTTTTCAGACGTTTTTTATTTAAAAAAAAAATACTTGTGTGTGCTTATCAAGTCCCTCAGAAACACAAAGCAGCTTCCCCTTCTTGCTTTGATCTTCTAACAACAACTAGCGCAGGCGTCTCCACTTTTGCAACATCCTGAGGGAAAGCCAGGACTCCGTGTAAGGCACAGGGAAACACAGCCAGGATGAAGGAAGGGTGCTGTTCTCCCCACAGATGTCTGCTCTGCTGGAGTCAATACTTTGGTCAAAGAAGTAATTACTAAGGTTTCCTGAAGATAGCCAGCAGGTCAAAGCCCCGATAAAAGTCTCTGAGATAAAATTTGCTCTATGGCTACATGTAGGATTTTTTGGCGAGGGTCTAATAACTTGGGGTGGAAGAGGAGGTGATGGAGGATCTTGGTATGAACATAAAGGCATGTTGGGAAAACCTAGATAAAAGGTATTTAAGACTTTGTCCCCAAATAACCAGCTGTACACCTGTCACCCAATCGTTTCAAGTCCCAGTACCTTTCTAACGATCCACTGCATCAATCCAAGGTAGTAAAGCATGGACATTACGGTGCTGAAGAAAACCACGATTGGCAGGACCTGGGGGTGAGGTGGGGGGATGAAAGCAATCATGAGTTGATGTTGGCCTCGGTATATTAGTATGATTCAGATCAGGTCTCTCTCCTGCCTCCTTTGCCCTGCTGAAACATCACAACATACTGGAAACTCCTCTTGAATCAATTGACACTTTAATCAGGCAGTTTCCCCATCTATAATCTCTTATTTGAATTTGCTCTGGATAAGCTTGAGTATATTTCACAGGAAACTTGACTTTTTTGGTTTCTCTGCGATGATGAGTTTTCTTACTGTAGTTACTCAGAGAAGGAATGCAGTTTTGGGGGGATTTGTAACAAGTAGATCAACAAACTAAAGGCCACTGGCAGATATTCTTGAAGTTCTGATATTAAACAGCCTCATTAGCAGAATATCCTGGTCAAAATTGAGTGCGAGTCACCTCTCAGATTTCTTATTTAGAAAGGCTACAGGGATCAGATATGGCATGATATGTGCTTACATGCACTGCCTTCCAGAGAGTAAGCACTTATTCGTTTAGCTTTTATTTGTTTTTTATTTTTGTATATTTTTAATTGGAGTTCAATTTGAGAACATATAGTATAACACCCAGTGCTCATCCCGTCAAGTGCCCCCCTCAGTTCATGTCACCCAATCTCCCCATCCTCCCGCCCACCTCCTCTTCTACTACCCCTCGTTCGTTTCCCAGAGTTAGGAGTGTCTCATGTTTTGTCACCCTCTCTGATTTTTCCCACTCATTTTCTCTCCTTTTAAAATAACAATTATTTTATTTATATATATTTTTTTAATTGCTAAAAAAATGAACTTTGGAAGCTAGTTTACTTCTGTGATACCACAATTGTCTTTTTTTGGATCCTGTTTCCCTGATGTTTTTGGGTGCCTTCAATGCAGCCTGTTTCTACAGTGAGTGGTTTCTACCCTGCAGAGAACACACAGAGCTGTGGGCTGGGTCCCTCCGCACTCCTGCCCCTATGTACCCCTTCCCTTCTGTTCTCCAGCTAAATGTCCAGGGACAAGCTGCCACCAGACACATAGAATGACCAAGGACAATTCATATGGAATCTAATTTAAAATATCTATTAATAATATATATTAAAAGACATTTTGTGCCATTACTCAGAGCTCAGTCACTTATGTGCTTTTATTGGCTTTAATGGGCAAGCAGAGCCTTCCTGAAAGCTTCAGGGAATTATTGGGGCTTATCTCGTGAATGTTCCCACAGGCATTCTGCTTTGGCAGAAAGGATGGAGGCCACTGCTCTGGGGAAGAGGAGGTGGTGGGTGGGTGGGCAGGAAAAGTCTAAAGAGTAGCAAATTAGGCTTTCCCAGTGACTTTTCTTTTTCCCAGGTGTAGGTTCAATTCTTGATAGCAGCATATTTCCAAACCTTTGGCCTTTTGGAGATGGCTTAGTTATCTCAGCACCAAAGCATCAAATCAGCAGTTAAAAAAAAATCAACAAGTCAAGAATCAGTATAAAAGATGGCCTTTTATACTGGGTAGTTTGGAGGTAAGCTTAGAGTCCCTAAGTGAGAAAACAACTTAGAAGTATAGAAACAATAGCACTGCAAGAAAGAACGCTGTAGAAAAAGCCAAATTTATCCTTGGGAACTCGTCAACAAGTATTTGCAGGGTCTTGACAAGGGAAACTGTGCTTCCTGGGTTTGTGGGAGTGCAGGGAGGCCAGAATGCTTTTCCCCTGGAGAATAATGTCCCTCCTTTGGTCGGGAGAAGGGCCAGCCTCCAGGTCTGCTGTGCTGAAGGAAGGACACGAAAGTTTTTGCACGGAAATGGCTCTGGAAGAACAGAGGTGAATGTGGGTGGGCAGCAGACTTCTGTTGGGAGGCTGATGGGGTTCCTGAGCACAGAGCTGTCACTGATCCTGGGCCTAGAAGCCTTCAGTGGCCATGTGCCTGATCATGGCCAGGTACCAGATGTTCCTTTCCCTGATGTCACAGATACTATTACCCCATAGGTCTTTTCAGTAGTATCTCAGGCAATGCCAGGAGCCCCCTCAAAACTATTTGTATATTTCTGACTTCCTCTAGATCTTTCTCTCAGTGCTGTAGTCACAAAGAAAATGTTTTCAATCTGTGGACTTCAGATAAAATCAGATAAGTGGAAAAAGGCAATGCTGTGCTATCTATGTAGGACATGACCAGCAGGTGTATATCTGGTTTCTGGTCAGGTTCTATCAGAATGTCTATAAAGACCCAGACGGTCCTGAAAAGGAGGTAACTACTTCAAAAAGGGATTTGGTTTTACCTTAAATGCAAATAAGTGGTCTGCGTACGTGTCACCGAAGACAAATTCTGCACCAGCATTAGTATATTCCAAGAAGGTCTGAGTTAAAGAAAGGAAGAGCCGACAATCATTACAACCTGGAATTGGTGGTTACAGTCCACCAAGGAGGAGCCCAGCAGACTTGCTGGTGAGTTGTGGAAGGACTATCCTCATAGCTTTCCCAGCTCCGGTAGATGGCGTGGAAGTATATTTTTGAGCTATAACTGCATACAGATTTCCTGTCATTTGTGACATTCAGTATGACTCTGGGATGCTTAAGAAGGAGCCCGCTGTGTCAATTTGGATATAATCCTCAAGACATGTCAGAAATAGGTTTATTCATCTGCATTAGTTGACCTACATTTTTGTTTGTCTAGAATATGTTAATCTGTTTAATTATTAATTAATAACTGTTGTCTCTCCCCCATATCATCCATGACATCACTATCCTATCCTGATTGTCCCTTCCATCCCGCCCCAGAGGTGCCAGCTGTGTCAAGCTGAACCTATTTCTGACATGTCTTGAGGATTGTATCCAATTACTAAAAGCACTTATTGGCAAGATGTTCATTTGAACTCAACTTACCTGAACTTGTTGGCCCAACCAATCAAAAGCCATAAATCCAGGATCAGTCCTCAGGATTAAGAGCCCAAGAAGAAATTGTAACCCAATTCCCCAAAAGACAGGCCTCCAGTAAACCTATGCAGAAAGATGAACAGATAGATCTTACTAGAAAATGAATGCGAAGGTCAGCATAAACACCCAGAGGATGACTATTTCCTTGGAAGCTTCTCACATGTGGCCTATGATCCACCTTCTTTGGGAGGCCAAGGCAGTTGTGAACAGACGATCCCTTGATAGAATCATGCCCCCAGATCTCAGGGTTGCATTTCCCGGTTCAAATCCCGAGTCTGAGTTCTCCAGCCTCTGGAGAGATGTAACTATTATGGCATGATAGAATAACTTAGACACAAAGCATAGTCTTAGCGGGCCCTAAAAGAGGAGGGATCTGGTTCTCTTCATGGTGCTGTAAATACTAGAGACCTATAATTATTTCCTCTGTCTGGAAAATGGAAAGGCAGAACATGGCTTCCCTGTGTGCCCAAGGTTTGTTAATCTGACAATTTGTAAGTGAATTAAGTGAAACTCCCCCCGTTGAGGGGCTCTCCTTTCATTGTAAAAGGAACCAATTAACTCTAATGCAGACCCAGGGGGTGCAGCAGCAATGGACAATCATCTGCTTTCATTTGTGGTGTGGAGATGAGTGGGCTGCAAAGAACTGTGGGATTGGAGGCATGGAAACCGGCAGAGATGTTGATTGGAGGTGGCCAAGGGCTTTGGATCCTATTAGGTGACTGGTTTTTCTTGGGTCAAGCTTTCAGAAAGCCAGTAAAGTCTACTGGAGTTTGCTTTCTGAGTCACGTGTGAAGGCTTCAATGTCTCCGGATTCTTGCCCATTTCACGGGTTACAGGCTGGCAGAATGAGGATGAGAACTGAATTCAAGGAAACGAAACTGTTTAAGGACAGAGTTTGGAAGGAAAATAGCCTAAGTTGCAAATAGAAGTTTGATAAACTTCAGAATCTAGCAGTGAAATATTAGATTATTACCGGCCTGGGGAAAATGTGATCAAAATAGATATATTTTCTTTTTGTGCTTGATTGAGGGAGGTGGTGCATGTGAGTAGAAATTGGACTAGGTAGAGAGAACACCTCACTGGTGTTGTAATTGGAAGATAACTGGGAATGAAAAATGAGAGTACCAGTTCTAAGAAAGCTCGTGAAGAAAGGTCCCTGGCTACTTAAAACAGCATAGCAAGGTAAGACAAAATCTGAATAACAGTGAAATTCTCTCAAACTCATTATTTTGAACAATTTAGACATTGAGGGGAAAATTAGAAGGAAAAGTTTAAGTCTAAATCTATTTCATACTTACTTTGGTTGGGTGCTTAGAAAATAGAAATACCAGGATAATGTACATTACGAGCCCACCGAAGGATACCAGCTGCTGTTGGCCCAATTTGGCGGTATCAAAGATCAGCCAGAGAATAACTCCCAGGATCAGTAAGCTCCAAACCACCCTAAGAGAATCAGAAAGGAGGCATCGACATCATTTTTTGTGCTACCCTGAAAATCTTAAGCAGGCTTTAACAAACAGAAAATTTATTAAGTGTAACACACCCTGGCACCAGGAAGTTATGCTTCTAGAAACTACACAGACTCTTTCATTATGGCTATAAAGGCAAATATACAAAAAATTACGTGCTGTGTTAAACACCTTCCACAAATTTTGGGCTCTTTGCTGGTTCAAGGACATACAAAGGGGTCAGAGATGAGAAAGGATGTTTAGAGATGGAAGTCTGGTGATTTCTTTGAGAGATTTGCTGTGTGTCCTCGCTTCCATTTTGGGAGATAGGAGAGATTTTACTTTTCTTCGTTTTAGGGGAGAACTTGAAATGTGTTTCTGAAGCTGGGGGACTTCAGATGGGCCTCAGAGAGCTAAGGGCTCTGACTCCTTGGTGGATCTAGTGGGCATAACATGTTTGACTCAGTTTGGATCACAGAGGTGGAAAACATGCTGTGTTGGGATTGCATGAAACTGTGTAAATAAGCCAAGGATATGTGAACTTTCCTGGTACATTCCTTATGAGCCATTCTGGGGAGAATACTGTCTGGTGTGCAATCCACTAGGGCAATCCTGTCTGGTGTGCAATCCGCTAGGGCCACCTGGAGGAAAGGGAGGCCCACAGAAAGAGGCAGAAGGAAAAGCCCTGAGTGGTCACTCATAGGATATGAGATTCTATAGGGAAGAGCTGGCTTTAATAATGCACAGGGTCTTTCTCTCCAAGAGGTCAGCTTCAGGCCCAGAGCAGAAAGCTGCCTCCTCAAGTCAGAACTATCCCATCATTTTATCATTTGGTGGCTCTTGAATTACAGGCACTTGTAGGGACATTTGAACATATCTTGAATGAGTCATTGCCCTATCTAGACCTTGCTTTCCTGTTTGTAAAATGACGGCATTATAACAAGCATCATAACTAGGTTACTTCTAGTTTCAATAGCCCATAAATGAAGGAGCGATTTCAGAACACGTGTTTGGAACAGTGTTGGGAAAGACTAACATCCCTTTCAAATGCAACAAGAGGACTGGGTGCATTTACCACTTCATCCAGAACCAAGAGCTGTTTAGGAGCCTTTTGGCAGGAGACAGACACTCATCGATTTGATGCTCATATTTGGCCATAAAGTAATCCCAGATAACAAAGAAGATGGCAGCCACAGTGATCACAAAAAGGGCAAGAGCTCTCTGGAAGTTCAGCACACAAGCTGCAATCACCATCGCCAGATAACCTGTTGAGAAAGTGAGTACAGAGCAGAGAACATCACCAACACCAGCTGCTAACCAGCACTGACAGTGCTGTCACAAGTAGGTTCAGTCAAGAGGTCACCAAATGCAGGAGAGCTTTTGATACAGCTATTGGCTCCAGTAATTATTAGTACTATGTTTTGAGGGGTTTTTTTTTTAAGATTTTATTTGTTTGAAGGAGAGCATGAGGGGCAGAGGGAGAATGAAAAGTAGGCTCCCCTCTGGCAGGGAGCCCAAAGTGGGACTCGATCCCAGGACCATGAGATCATGACCTGAGCCAAAGGCAGATACTCAACCAACTGAGCCATTCAGGTGCCCCGTTTTTTTTTCTTTTTTCAAAGAAATCCCCTAAGAGTCTCACCATGAATGCAGGGAGGACAGAGTGCTAGATCTGTTTTCTCATGGAAACTTGAGTTCTTGAATCTTGATGCTAGATTGTTGGGTCTCTCAGTACTAATAGCTTTTTTGTGTGTGTTCAGACTCAGCAGGTGAGCTTCTAGCAGAGAAACGTCAGGTGTGAAGCAACCACTGGCAAAAAAGTATTGATTCTCCTTGTTGGCAGCTCAGATTTGGCCTAAGCTTTAGTAGGAAAATAGACTTACCAGAAATTTCAGAGTTCCAAAGAATCTCTAAAGAAAGGGCTGAGGGATAATTACAAAGGTGGCTGCTTTGAGGAGGAGGTTCTAGAACAAGTTTTCCTAGAAGGGTCAGCAAACATGGTCTGCAGGTCATATCTGGCCTACCACTTGTTTTTGTAGGTGGTAGGTACAATTGTATTTGTATACTCGTGTCTGTGTTCTACAAATAAAATTGTTTGGAAACACAGCCATGCCTGTCTGTTTACTTTTGTAAACTGTAGAGTTGTGTGGCTTTTGATGCCTTGCCTGAAAAGTCTAAAATACTATGTGGCCCAGTACAGTGGAAGCTTTCAACCCTGTTGTTCCTTGTTTCTGAGATCTGAACACCAAAAAAGCCACTGACCCTAGAGGGGCATTGGTCTTGGATTAATGTCAGTGGACTTGGGTGTGAGGGTTCATATTTTATAGACAGGAGTGTTCGTCAAAATGGGCTGCAGAATCCTTTGCTTTGGAAGGAGTAAAAATAGGGAAGCTTCTCATCTGTGAAGACAGGAAAGAAGAATAGCCTACATGACCCTAGACTCCTGCTCATGCTATATTTGCATGAAGTGTTAATTGCTTAGATTCCCTCCTGTAATTAGGTTCCCACCTTGTGAGAATGACCATATTTTCTAGTTACCTGGATTTGCATTAACCAACCCTTAAATCCATATCACAACAACAAAGGCCATTAGAGCAGGGGACCTAAATAATTAGCTGCTGGCTGCATAAGTCAAACAAGGAAACGATCTGTATATTCAACCCCAGTTGAGACCCACTACTCAGGGTTTCTCAATTAACCTCTCTGCTTCTGTGGATTCGCTGAAGTCTGGGGGAACAGAAAGATTAGAAAGATTTATTTTCCTTCTACAGAAAGATAATATATGGGGGATTCTTGAATAAAGACACTGGCATCCATCCTCCTTTCATTATTTACCTAGTATTAAGATGCCCCGGATGATGTACTGAAAGATGGTCTTGTGTTTCTTATAAAAATCACAAACTGTATCATATTTCCTTTCCAGATACCTGTAGCAACACAAAAGCAAAAACACTGAAAGAAAACAAGAAACAAACAGACATACTGAGCTAGGTGAGGCTCTGTAAATTAAACAAGCAATCAAACAAATTGATGAGGTGTATGTCCTACTAGACCGAAGGGGGATACTGATCTCATTTTAGACTACAATCAACCATGGCTTGGGTCGACCTTTGCCGCATGGATATGACAAGCCCTGAGGGCTTACAGAAATGTAGAAAACATGCTTCTGGACATAGAGCAGGGGGGATGGATAACTAACCAGACGCTGATAAAAAAATCACGAGACAAGAATGTTTCTCACTGGACTAGGAGGGCCTCTGACAGCTTTTAGGCCACAGTTATGGAATCTGATTTTAGAAACTCTCAAGCCATCTGGTCTCACAAAGTTTGAGTAAGTTGGTCATTCCCTGTCCTGGCTCACCGTATGTTTTAGGGGAGACTGACACACTTCACTGGATGCTTGAAATGTAAAGAAGGATTTTGTGGATTTCAGAGCTATTAACCAGCAGGTTGTAATATAGCTTTCCAGAAAGTTCTGGCATTGTTGGCATGCCTTTGTTTCTGTTCAGAGCTTTGTTAGGGGGTCGTGGGTAGTGAGTGAGCAATATGTGCATCTGATCACTTCTGCTGCGGAGTCTGGTGTCCATCAGTGAGTGAGTTTGGAGGGGCCCCAGGGCCATACACATGACGACTGTCCTCTACTTCTCCTGGGGTCCTCCTGGTTCCCTCCACACCTGCCCTGAAATCTGGCTTCCCTGCACTCACCTCTTTCCTCTATGCCCCCTAAAATGGAGACCTCTTCTTCTCCCACTGGAGGAAGGAATTTATTCACACATTTAATCATTGCTAATTTGAGACCACTTCTAGGTCACTTCTGGTCCCTAAAGGAGATTCCTTATCTCCAGGATCACAAAGGACTCATCCCTGAGCTGGGACCTCCCCTCTACTTGTTAACACCCTCCTTCTCCACCTTGCAGCAGCTGTGCCAAGTACCAGCACCCACTGCCTGCTTCAGGGCATGGCCCAAGCCCCTCACTCCTACAACACCTTCTTGCATCTCCTCGGACAGGGACAGAGGCATTCCTCTGTGCTTCACTCCTACTGTCTTCCTTGATCATATTTTGTGATGAAACCTCAACTGGCTAACTTTCTGGAGATTAGATGTGAGCTCAATACCACTAGGATCTTGGACATTAGGCTGCTTGACCAGCATATGTTGAATTACTAGTTAAATGAAGTGGGACTGTGTGTTGCTTCTCTGGAACAGTATTCTACCCCTGGGCAGGGGGACCCATCTGTGGGTTATGAAGAACACTGCAGGACACCCATTTTTAATAAGAAAGAAGAGGATGTATCAGAGCATATCACACATAGTAACGATGAGTCTTATTTCATGAAAACTTTAATGTATGAATACATGTACTGAGCAGTGGAAACACTGATCTAGAAGATATTAAGGGAATACAAGTTCAGTAGAGACTAAGTTTTCATGGTTGAATTTGGAAAGGTAGATGATGCTTCATCCTTAGTTTCTGATAGAGTTTTACAGTGGCCATGGAGGAAGGCAGCATTTAATTGGGTGCATTCGTGTACTTTAGTTTGGATTCATCATATTCTTTAATTGCAAAGAATATATGTGGTCCCAAATAGCAATCTCACACCGCATAAAATAAAGTAGCTCAAAATAGAGGCTTCAGCCATTTGGTTATCTTGGTTAGATGACTCCCAACCTCCTGATGATTGCTTCCATCCCATTAACATTAGCAAAGTCTGATGCCTTTGACCACCCAGGAGAATTTCTGAGCCAATGGGGTCAGAGATCCATAAAGTAAAATGAAAGATGGAAGTAAGCTCAGGTTTCTGAGGTGGTAAATATTTCCGATGGTGCATAAGTGACAAGAGCTTTTGATCCCAATTCTCACCAACTCCAGAGATATCTTTTGATGCATAAAAACAAAGTTCCTCAGAGACTTAGACATTGAAATAAAACTTAAATGGACATTCAGAAACTTGACAAATACTTGAGTGTTAAGACAGAGTCCCGACAATCTTAGACTAGGAATCAGAAGCTGAAATTGTGAAGGTAGTTTTGTTCCTCTCAAGCTGACTAACTTTGAGTAAGCCACTTCTAGCTTCATCTTCCTGGTTCAAGAAATAAAGAAAATAATTTGCCTCTCTTACCTCATGAGGCAATAAGGACTAGGAATACCTTCAGGATATGAAAATGTAAGAGCGAATTCGCTGGGACTTAATATGGATTGGATTTTGAGAAATCAATTGCTTATTGATTGACATTGAGAAGATGAATTAACTACTTTTGCATGGGCTGGAGCAATTAGTTGGTAATGTATGCATTTAATTAGATGACTGGCCAGGATATTGGGTTCTCAGGACATCTGTAGTTTGAATTTACTACAGTTATTATAGAAATCCATTAAATTTTCTGAAAATGGTGTTGGGTGGGTAGTTGGGAAGAGGGATTGGTGGTGGTGGTGATAATAGCTAATAAATAGTAATAAATGTTTAAAATTAGAGGAGGATGAAACAAAGTGACAAAACCAATTAGGAGATCAGTATGGTTATTTCTCTGATTTAAACCTGTACCCTTTTGGATGTGTCTCTGGATCATCCTCCATATCTTCTTTGTTTCTTAAAGAATCCTGCTCAATGGTGATCTGCTCTTCATCCTGAAATCAAGCATTGTAGGAGAGATGGAATAATGAGAATCTGGGGCATAACAGCCCCTAATCTTTGCCAGAATTTTGGCAAAGGATTGACAACAGGTCTTTTAAAATTATTATGCAAGAATATAGCTCCTATTACCTAGTTGTGCAGACATTTTCCCTTTTATCATGAAAAATACAGGATCACACTTCTCTCTCTCTTTTCTCCAAAAGAGCTGTAGTGTTTCCTCCTTTTCTTTAGGAAATAGGTTCATATCTCTGCCTCTTGCTCCTGTCTCTACTCTAATCCTTCAACCCCTGCTCTGTTTTTGGGCATGAGCTCAATGAAGTTAATATCAGAGACTGCATAAGTCTCCTTTTATACTCTGCCAGACGTGGTTTCCAGAGGGCGGAGACCAATGCCAGTTTATTTTCCTGGCAGCCCAAGGCTTGGTCTGCAGATGTAAGCACTAGCCCAGTATCTTCAAGGGCTGATAAACATTCCCTTGGGAACTAGGGTCCTCCTATCAATGGGCTAAAGTTTGGAAGTAGTGCCCTTTCTCAACTAACCCTTGCTCTAAGGAATGGAGTGAAGTATATACCTGGGTATCTTTGAAGGTACCATTTGAGCTTTTCAAGATCCATGACCCATTCTGCTCTCAGGATAGCATAGAGGATTGCCTGCCTCCCTCCATTTTGCAATAATGTCTCAAATAGTTCCAGCTATTTTAAGTGTGGCAAAGACAGGTGGCAAGGCAGTTTGCAGATGTGGAGCAGTTTTGAACAGGTTCTAAAAAGGATAATGTCAAATCTCAGCTTCTGTTTTCTGTCATATTCCAGGTAGACATTGGTTCTCTGTACTGTGCAAACTCAGAAATAAGTCATAAGTGGGGCACCTTGGCTCAGATGGTTAAGTGTCCGACTCTTGATTTTGGCTCAGGTCATGATGTCAGGGTTATGAGACTGAGCCCTGCATTGGACTCCGTGCTGGGTGTGGAGCATGCTTAGGATTCTCTCTCCCTCTAGCCATACCCCATCTCTTCTTTCATTGAAATTTCATCTTTCTTTCATCATCTTTCTTTCATTGAAATTCATCTTCATCATCTTTCTTTCATTGAAATGTCTTTCATTGAAATTTCTTTCATTGAAATTTCAAGTTACCTACTGTCTATGGAATGTCTGGTATTAACTGTCTGCCCCCCCAACCTGTTCCCATCTTTATTTATTTATTTGTTTGTTTATTCTTACCTATTAGATTGGCACAGATTTTTTCTTTTTTTAAATTTTAATTTTAAGATAATTAGCATGCAACTTCATATCAATTTCAAGTGTACAATATAGTCTTCAACAGTTCTCTACATTACTCAGTGCTTATCAGGGTAAGTGTACTCTTAATTCCCTTTACCTATTTCACACCCCCCTCACCTCCTCTCTGGTACCCATCTCTTTTATAGTTGTCTGTTTTTTGGCTTATCTCTTTTTTTCTTTGTTCATTTATTTTGTTTCTTAAATTCCACATATGAGTGAGATCATCCAGTATTTGTCTTTCCCTGACTGACTTCTTTCAGTTGGCATTATAGTCTCTAGAGCCATCCATGTTGTTGCAAATGACAAGATTTCATTCTTTTTTATGGCTGAATAATATTTATGCATATATATATATATATACATACTTATCACCTCTTCTTTATCCATTCATCTACATCAGTGGACACTTGGGTTGCTTCCATAGTTTGATATTGTAGATGATGCTACAATAAACAGAGGTGTGTATGTATCCCTTTGTATTCTTTGGATAAATACCCAGTAATGCAGTTACTGGATCACCGGGTAGTTCTATTTTTAAAGTTTTGAGGAACCTCCATACTCTTTTCTGCAGTGGCTGCACCACTTTGTGTTCCTACCAACAGGGCACAAGGGTTCCTTTTTCTCCTCATCCTTGCCAACGCTTGTCATTTCCTGTGTTTTTGATGTTAGCTATTCTGAGAGGTGTGCAGTAATATCTCCTTGTGGTTTTGATTTGCATTTCCCTTTTGATGATTGATGTTGAGCATCTTTTCATGGGTCTGCTGGCCAACAGACATGTCTGTTCATGTCTTCTGCCCATTTTTTAATCGGTTTATGTTTTTTGGTGTTAAAAATATGGAATGCTTCAAAAACTTGCATGTCATCCTTGTGCAGGGGCCATGCTAATCTTCTATTGTTCCAATTAATATATGTGCTGCCAAAGTGAGCTCCCATCCCTATCTTTATTTTTTTATTTTTTCAGTTTTTAAAATTTAATTCAATTTGCCAACATATAGTATAACACTCAGTGCTCATCCATCAAGTGGCCTCCTTAGTGCCGTCACCTAGTAACCCCATCCCTCCACTCACCTCATGTTCTGCAGCCCTTTGTTTGTTTCCCAGAGTTAGGAGTGTCTCATGGTTTGTCTTCCTCTCTAATTTTTCCCCACTCAGTTTCCCTCCTTTCTCTTATAGTCCCTTTCACTATTTCTTATATTCTATGTTTAAGTGAAACCATATGATGATTGTCCTTCTCCGATTGACTTACTTTACTCAGCATAATACCCTCCAGTTCCATTCAGGTGAAAGCAAATGGTGGGAATTCATCCTTTCTGATAGCTGAGTAATATTCCACAGTATATATAGACCACATCTTTATCTATTCATCTGTCGAAGGACATTGTGACACCTTCCGCATTTGGCTATTATGGACATTGTTGCTATGAACATTGGGGTGCAGGTGTCTGCACGTTTCACTATATCAGTATCTTTGGGAGTAAATACCCAGTAGTGCGATTACTGGGTCATAGGGCAGATCTACTTTTAACTCTATGAGGAACCTCCACACAGTTTTCCAGAGTGGCTGTACCAGTTCACATTCCCACCAACAGTGCAAGAGGGTTCCCTTTTCTCCACATCCTCTCCAACATTATTTGTTTCCTGTCTTGTTAGTTTTAGCCATTCTCACTGATGTGAGGTGTATCTTATTGTGGTTTTGATTTGTATGTCTCTGATGGCAAGTTATATGGAGCATTTTTTTATCTGTTTGTTGTCCATGTGTAGGTCTTCTTTGGAGAAATTTCTGTTCTTGTCTTCTGCCCATTTCATGACTGGATTGTTTGTTTCTTGAGTGTTGAGTTTGATAAGTTCTTCATAGATCTTGGATACTAGCCCTTTATATAATATTTAATTTGCAAAAATCTGCTCCCATTCTGTAGGTTGTCTTTTAGTTTTGTTGACTGTTTTTGTTTCCCTTGCCTTCGCCTTCATAGATCTTTTTAGCAAGAAGTTGCTGTGGCCAAGTTCAAAAAAGTTGTTGCCTGTTTTCTCCTCTAGTATTTTGATGGATTCTTGTCTCACATTTAGGTCTTTCAACCATTTTGAGTTTATCTTCGTGCATGGTGTAGAAGACTGGTCCAGTTTCATTCTTCTGCATGTGGCTGTCCCCATCCCCATCTTTAAAACAAACCAAAAATGATAAAACTACACAAAATCTTCCTGACCTCATAGTCATGGGATATCTACTCTCCCTCTTTCTCTTCACAGCCAAACCACTTGAAATTATTGCCTTTACTTTTAGTGACCCTCACATCCTATTCACTTAGCCAACTGTGATCAGACTTCTATTGAGATGGCTGCTGCCAAGATCACCCAAGGTCCACTGTTGCCAAATCTGGTGACTCCTCCTCCCTCTTTATATTCTTGTTTATAATAGTAAAGTATCTATTTTGTTTTGTTTTTGGCTGTTTTGTGAAACAATAAAAAAAGACTTCATTTTTTAAAGAGCAGTTTCAGGTTCTCAGCAAAATTGAAGGAAAAGTAGAAATCTCCCATGTACCTGCTGCCCCCATGTATGCATAGCCTCCCCCCATTAGTACCATCTCCTGCTAGAGTGGTACATTTGTTGCAATTGATGAACCTACAGTGACACATTAACACCCAAAGTCTATAGTTACATTAGGGTTCACTCTTAGTGTTGCACATTTTATGAATCTGGACAAATGCATAATGACATGTATTCACCATAGTAGTATCACATAGAGTAGTTTCACTGCTCCCAAATCCTCTGTGCTTTGCCCACATGTCCTTCCCTCTCGGAAACCACTTGTCTTTTTACTGTCTCCACCATTTTGCCTTTTCCTTGGAATCATATAGTATATAACCATTTCAGACTGCTTCTTTTAATTACTAATACATACTTAATGTGCAACCATGTCTATTCATGGTTCAAATGTTCATGTCTTTTTGGTGCTGAAGAATATTCCATTGTCTGGATGAGCCACAGTTCATTTCTCTATTCACTTGCTGAACAACATCTTGGCCTCTTCCAAGTTTTGGAAGTTAGGAATAAAGGTACTATAAACTTCTATGTGTGGGTGTTGTAGGGCAGAAGTATTGTTTTCTCTTCTTTTGTTGAACAATGAGTGAAAAGGACACTTTTTTTACAATATATTAAGTACAGTAGACAGTAATAATATGGATAGCATGATCCCAATATAGGTGACATGTGCATGTGGGTATATATTTGCCTTGAAAGGACAAATTTAAAATGCTAGGCATTGATTTTTTTCCCCTGGAATTATACAGGTAACATTTTTTTGTCTTCCAAATTTTACTATGATAATTTCCCACACTTTCCACTTCAAGCAAGTTATTCTTTTTATCATGAGAATAATTCTCTCCAATAAATGGGTTGATAGTAGGCACCCAGAATTACCCACCCCCCAAAAAAGAAGGATGATCTACATGGATAATAGGCTTGATTTTTAGCAGCAGAAGGCTTTCTTCAAATGAGATCTTAGCCAGAATTCAATATATTAAAAAAAAATGAGAGTGGCCTTGTACACCTGTCTGCTGTAAATTTAGGTGTCCCTGGATAACATGAGGGCTCAATGGACAGTTTAAAAAACAGATCTTAGAACTTTCCTCATCTGCCTCACTTACTTTAACATTGAGATGTTTTGGTTTAAACCAGTGTTTTTTGCTTTAGGATGGAGTTTGGAATCTATACTAGTGAAGTGTTGGAGAAAGCCTCTGTACCCTCCCCAGCAGAAAACTCTGAGGACAGGTTTATAAACACAACATCTCTTTCTTTGAGCATGTGTGGTTTCTTCATGACCCTGCCTTACACATTTTAATTACCATTTAATTCATTCCTCTGAGTGTCAGCTGAGCGCACGCTTTCTGTCCCCATAGCTCAGTCTCTTTTGCACAGCAGTTACGTGGTAATAGATTCACTCAACCATCACTGGAGTACCTGCTTGGCGTTTTCGTGTTCTCTGCTTTTTGAAACTCTACACCTTAGTGAATTGTTGTTTCCTGATGTGTTCTGGTTTTCATCAAGGTCTTCGTCATTCTACGAAAAATGTACAGATTGCAAAAAATACAATTTTAGAACAAAAAAAAACAAATGATCTGTCAATAAATATTACCTAGAAGACGTTTGAGGAATGGGGCGGCAAAGATAAGGTATTCAGACGGATCAGCTGAATAAAGACAGGCCAGTGAATCTTGGACTCTCAATGAAACATGATTTCTGTTTTGTTCTGTTCTGAGAGAAGGAATGGTGTGGTCTAACTTGAGAAAGAGAGAAAGAAAGGAGGACCAGGTGCCCCCATCTAAGTCATGTGACTTTATAATAAGCATAGCTGAGACTAGGGTATATCATGTTAACACAGGCTTCCAATTTATAAATGAAGCATAATGTAGGCCAGAGAGTTTTCTTCTTAGATGTTAGATTTTTGAGATGCTAAAATGTGTTTTGTTTGGTTTAAAGCAAACTCTGGTAGTAATGAGAATAAGAAAAATGCCTTCTTTTGTCAGGCTGTCTTGATTTGACTTTAAGGACGTGAGTAAGCTGTGTTCTTGGAGGAGTGTCCTCACCCCGGAGCAGTTATTTCCAGATGTGACAGACACCTGGCTCATTTCTCTTTTACCTTTTTGAGGCAGTCCAGTCTTTCTCCCATCTCATCCCAACTTTCCTTCCTCAGGTACTTCATTTTGAGTAAGGCAACAAGATAGATAAACTGTGTTAGGTAAGTCTCTGTAACTTTCCAGGAAATGTCCTCTGTGAGGCCTGTTGGCTGTGACCTTGTCTTTGAAAGAAAAACAAGTCTATGGCTTTGATTTTAACTTTAGATCTCAGGCTGGCTCCAAGGATCTATAAAAATAATACAGTTCCAACTTGGGTTAATTCTCTATCTAGTTCACTTGGTTAAGCACCTGCCTTCAGCTCAGGTCATGATCCAGGGTCCTGGGATCCGCAGGGAGCCTGCTTCTCCCTCTGCCTCTGCTACTCCCCCTGCTTGTGCTCTCTCTTGTACACTCCCTCTCTCAAATAAGTAAATTCTTAAAAAAAAAAAAAAGCAAAAACCCTAATTTCCAGCACAGAACGTGATTTATGCATGAAAGCCTTGTTGCCGTACTGCCCTTTTGGTTACAGCTGTGTATCTTACTTTTGCACAATTCCCCACATGTAGCAGACACTAACAGTTATTTGTTGAATGAATGAACCACAGTGATTTTAATGTTGCGTTAACTGGTATTGCAATGTAGTACATGCGAGTATTTGGTAAAAAATATAGTCGGGGGCACTGTATGTGGTATGGAAAGATGACAGAGTGTTGCTAATTGCAGAAGCCAGCTGGTAGGCACTCCGGGACTCATTTTATTATTCTCACTTTCATGGATGCTGAAAATTTCCTTAACCAAAAATTAAAAATAAAACTCAGCGTGAGGTGGTTTGGAAATATAGGACACAGATGGGTGAGGGTGCTGGTCTTCGGGGTTCCCAATTTCATGTGTGATGCTGGGTAGATCACATCTTCTCAGCCTCAGTCTAACAGTTTCGATTTGCTGCTCTGATCCCTTCCAGAAACCTGACATTTTCTGGTTTCCAGAGGAGCCAGGGCAACCTCCTTGGTAATTCCTGCTAATTCTTGATTATTCCTGCCACCTGGTGGCAGAAGCTGGAAGTTGGGGAACACAAGGAAGGGGCTTGCGTTTTTAAAGTTAATGAAAGAGAAAGTGTGTGTGTGTGTGTGTGTGTGTGTGTGTGTGTGTGTGTGTGTGTTTGGGGATGGGGTAGAGAAGGTGTAAGTGGCGACAGAGGCACCTCCGGATGGATTTTGTGACATGTGGTGAGATTGATTTACCCCCAGTAGAGTGTTTGTCTTGGCTTTTTAACATTTTCAAGAAGGGGCACCTGGGTGACTCAGTGGCTGAGCGTCTGCCTTTGGCTCAGGTCTGATCCTGGGGTCCTGGGATCGAGTCCCGCATTAAGGTCCCTGCGAGGAGCCTGCTTCTCCCTCTGCCTGTGTCTCTGACTCTCTCTCTCTGTCTCTCATGAATAAATAAACAAAATTAAAGAAAAAATTTCAAGAACAATATCTCCCATTTGAGGATCTCCGACAGGAATAATGGGGCTCTTGTGGGTGTTGGTCGGTGCTAGAAAAATAACCCTTAAGACGTCTCTTGGCTTTGTTTTATCGCTTCTTTTTAAATTGGAGTCATAAGCCTGAATGGGTGTCCATAAGTACTTCTTAGCTCCTTGTTTCTTTACATATACTCAGCATTTCAGATTAAGTAGATCCGTTAGTACAGATTACTACATACCTTAGGGCACTGACCTACAACCAATACTGTGTTCTAAATGCAAGCTGGTCACTCCGCTGAGTGGGTGGCTACGTTGTGGGGTTGTGTATGAGTAATTCTAGGCAGTTGACGGCACATCACTTAATTTCCATAGTTACTGTTATTTGCTGGGTGTACTCAGTCCTGGCTTGAGATTCTCAAGGGCAGATCCTTGAGCCTGGAGTCCCTTGTGCCTGGACTTTGATCCTGCACTTTCCGTGCTGTTTGAGCAACTACAGATCCTCAATGGGTGTCGTGGGGAGTACAGTTGGACAGAAGATTTTTAAAAATGATTAATTTATTCCGTTCATTCAGTTTCTAAACGATACAACTTCTAAAACATTCTGGAAATCATCCCCTCAACGCCATCTATTTGTGCTATTTCCCTTTAATAGAATTACAGCTGAACATGAAGCCACCCAGAGGAGAGGCTACATTTCCACTTATAACTAGATTCTGGCCAGTTGAAATATAAATACATGTGGTGCTCTGAGTGGGGCAGCTCAGAATGTTCCTTCAGAGATGACAGCAGATGCCCGTTGTCCATTTCATTTTTCCCTATGTCGTGCTACCTTGTGGTGGATGGTTCCAGTTGGGCCATGAACACAAGAGCCCCACCGTGGGATCCCTGGGTGGCGCAGCGGTTTGGCGCCTGCCTTTGGCCCAGGGCGCGATCCTGGAGACCCGGGATCGAATCCCACGTCGGGCTCCCGGTGCATGGAGCCTGCTTCTCTCTCTGCCTCTCTCTCTCTCTCTCTCTCTCTCTCTCTCTCTGTGACTATCATAAATAAATAAAAATTTATAAAAAAAAAAGAGCCCCACCGTGAGGATGTCAGCGTGGTGAGTTGCAGGGTACTTGGGTCCTTGATAACCTTGAGTAGTGCTTCCACTCCAGTCCTGTACTACCTCCTTCCTGACTTTTAGCTGAAGGAAATAAGCTTCTCTCTTGCTACTTTTGGTTTTTGTTTTTATCTGCACCTGGGTTGATATGATATGTAGTTGGCACAAGACACAGGGTTAATCTCTTTAAAGTCCTGTGATCTCCATTTTTATAGATGAAGAGACTAAGGCCAAGATAAGCCATTTACGTGACTCAGGTTATATAACCACAGTAGCTGAGATGGGATGTGAACTCAGACTGTCCAACCCAAACTGTATTGTGCCTATAGAGTTTGAACATTGGGCCAGGACACTTTGGCCTCAGGAGTGTCTAGAAGGTAGTGGTACACCTACAGATTAAATTCTGCTTCCATCAAGAATATCTGATTTGACCTCAGGATATTAAAAGACCAGTCAGAGTGGCTAGAATCAAAAAGACAAGGAATAACAAGTGTTGGCAAGGAAGTGGAGAAAAAAGAACCCTTATGCATTGTTGACGGTTATGTAAGTTGGTGTAGCCACTCTGGAAGACAGTATAGAAGTTCCTCAAAAAATTAAAAAGCAAACTACTACCATAAGATCCATTAATTTGGCTTCTGGATATTTATATGAAGAAAACAAACACTAACTCAAAAAGATATATGCACCCCTATGTTTATTGCAGCATTATGTATAATAGATAGACATGGAAGCAGCCTAAGTGTTCATCGATAGATGGATAGATAAGGAAGATGGGGTCTATCTGTATAGCAAATGGAATATTACACAGCCATAAAAAGGATGAGATCGTGCCATTTCGAATGTGGATGGACCTAGAGGGTGTTATGTGGAGTGAAATAAATCAGACAGAGAAAGACAAATACAGTATGATTTCACTTATATGTGGAATCAAAAAACCCCACAAATAAGTAAACAAATTAGAAGCAAATCAGACCCATAAATACAGCGAACAAACTGCCAGTTGCCAGAGGGGAGCAGGGTGGTGAGATGGGCAAAATGGGTGAAGAGGAGTGGGAGATACAGGCTCTAGTCATGGAGTGAAGAAGTCACAGGCATGAAAGATACAGCATAAGTCTATGGTATGATAATAGCATTTTATGGGGGCAGGTGGTAGCTACATCCGTGAGCATAGCACAATATAGAACCTTGCAGAATCACTATATGTACACCAGAAACTACTGTATCATTGTGTATCATTGTGAAGGATTCTTGAAATTTCTTGTGGCCACTTTCTAACTATACCTAGGCTTGGTGGTTTTTTCTCAAACAGAGTAGTGGGCCTCCCCCTCACAGACTGGTTTTAAGTAGATGCTCTCCTTTATTTGCATAAGTGGGCACTCCTGCTTTTCTGAACACGTCTTGTGTCCATGATTAGTTTGGCGCTTTCTCTTGCAACTGTGTCTGCTCCACTTATTGGTCTCTCCCTCCCATGATGGCCCTGGATGCACTGTGTGGCGTCCATTTCTCAGTTTTTGTGGTTGTGGTTTCTCTGCTGCAAGCTGAACGTCATTGTGCCAGAGGAGACTTTCTTCGAGCTTCTTTATGGAAGCTGCTCTGGCCTGGTGTGCTCTGACTACATAACTGACCTTGACAAGGAGGCAATGATGGGCATGAGCCTGGAGCAAGAACGGACACCTTCACCCCTGGAGAGACTTGCATCTTGGCCTTGATGGGACATAGATGATGTTGGTTAATGACAGATGGGAATGGCCTACCAGGCAAATATGATGTCAAAAAGGACTCTGAGGAGCTGCTATGGAGATATTTACCTGAGTCTAGAGCTTGACACTTCACAGCAAGCTTGTTTTAGTGTTTGCTAATATACCTTGGCTGGAAGGCTTTATA